ACCATGCCGTTTCTATTAGTCCTAGACCCACAATTCTCACATTTCCTTAACATTCCACAATTTTCTCTTGAAAGCACACAGATTATTATGAAATCAGGCATATTTAAGGTACTGATTGATCTCAGAACTCACATGTTTGATTGCTGCAATTTAAAAAATAATTTCCCTTATATAAATTATATGTATTTTAAAACTAAATAAAAATAACTATGTAAAAAAACAACTCACGAAGTTAAACAGAATTACAATATGACCCAGCAATTCCATTACTAGGTATATACCCAAGAAAATTATCTTTTTTGGCAGCAGGCCAATATAAGGATTGAACCCTGGACCTTGGTGTTACCAGCACGATGCTCTTAACCAACTGAACTAACCTGCCAGCCCATCCAAGAAAACTAAAAACATATATTCACACAAAAGCTTGCATATGAATGTGCATAGCACTATTCACAATAGCTCAAAAGTGGAAACAACCCAATGGCCATCAACAGATTAATGGATCAACAAAATGTTGTATATTCACACAATGGAATATTAACCAGCCATAAAAAGGGATTAAGTACTGATACATGCTCCAACATGAATGAACTTTGAAAACATTATGCTTAGTGAAAGAAACTGGATACATACAGCCACATACTATATGATTCCAATTATAAGAAATGTCCAGAACAGGCAAATCCAGAGACAGAATCTACTTTCTGTTGCCAGGGATAGGGACAGAGAGGAATGGGGAGTGACTGCTAAAGGGTAAGGGGTTTTTTGGGGGGTGATGAAATATTCTGGAACTAGATGGTGGTGGTGGTTGCACAACCTTATGAATGTAAAAACTACTGAACTGTACACTTTAAAAGGGTTTCTACTTTCTGTTGCCAGGGATAGGGACAGAGAGGAATGGGGAGTGACTGCTAAAGGGTAAGAGTTTTTTTGGGGGGTGATGAAAATATTCTGGAACTAGATGGTGGTGGTGGTTGCACAACCTTATGAATGTAAAAACTACTGAACTGTACACTTTAAAAGGGTGAATGTTATGGCATTTGAATTATACATCGCAATTTGTAAAATTCATTCAAAGTCACGTTTGCTATCAACAGGCAGACAAAAGCTGGAATTTGATGTTAGAAAATTTTGACTATATAATAACAAGACTGGTTTCCTGATACCCCTTGAAATCTAACTGAGGGAAATTCCAAACAGGACTTCTTGAAAGGCTGAAATTAGTGCATACACATATGCTCTCTCAAGGTGACTACTTTTTTAAAAGGACAACTCACTTTCAGAATAGTTTTATCAAGTATAATAACATTATCACGACTGTTTGAAAACAACGAACTCTACCTAATCCATTCACTTCCTACATAAAATTGAGAACTTTATATTATTCACATAATCTTTATACAACTACTTGTAAGACTGGCATTACTCACAAAAACACTTCAAAATCCTGACCACAATCAACATCCGAACCAAAGGCTGGAATATGAAATTGTTTTTTCAGTTCATTTTTAGGTTTCAAGTTAAACCAAGCTTAAATAAACATCCCACAGTTTTAAAGAATTGCTTTACAACTCTATTCAGAGGTCAGAATTTACATGGCATAGAGCATGCCTCCACTTTTTAAATAAGTGGTTTCTTAAACTGTGGTTTAGTATGCAGAGGAGTCTTTGTTGCATTTCAGTTATGAGTCAGAGTGAATCAAGAAGTTATGAACACACAGCCATAAGTGCTGGAAAAGCATTAGGAGGACAAAAGTACCAGGAGACAGACTGGTTCTGAATTCACATATCTCATCAAGAAAACTTGACCAGTGGTGTTAACGGAAAGAGAACTGGAATGCGGAGTCTAGGTGCTAGTCCAAGTTCTGCCAATAACAGAGTAACCTTAAGAAAGTCATTTGACACTCTGTAGGACTGTTTTCTCATCAGTAAAATGAAAGAACTGGACTCCAAGGTTTCTAAGTCTTACAATTCTCAAGTCTTCGAGTCTATTGTTAAGTAGCTTAGGGCTGTGGGAAGTGAAGCAATTAAACCAGGCAGCTCTCATATTTTTGTGTACCTAGGAAGCCACACCATATACAGTAAGAGAACTTGGGATTAGCTACCGGGAAGAAGGAACAAGAAAAGTGTACATAGTTCCTGCTGGTACTGGTTCATTCCTGTTGGACCTAATAAAGAGAAAGCACCTCTGCCAATGTTCCAGGGGATAGGAGTGGTTCCTATGTCTCACCACACCCACCATAGTTGGTTTTTCCTAAAAGAAATCTACTGGGGACTCTATAAAAATGTGAAGCACCAAGTACTATTAGTCACTGCATGACTAATAGGACAGATCAATTCTAAATTAAAGAAACAAAACAGTTTTCTCTTTCTCGCACAAAAAGAAATAAACAGCTTTCATTCCAGTCAAGGAGTCCTAAATGACCACAGTGAGTTGCACAGATACTTAAAAATAAATACCGTGTCAATACAAAGAAAATGAATTATCTGTAGAAAGTAGTATTAAAATATTAAGGGCTGGCTGGTTAGCTCAGTTGGTTAGAGTGCAGCTTAGAACACTGAGATCATGGGTTCGGATCCCTGAGCCAGCGAGCTGCAAAAAAAAAAAAAAAAAGATTCATCTTCTCTTTCACAGCTAATGATTATCAGACCAGCCTGTGGTAGGATGTTGTCAATAAAATAGAAGTCACCAGCATATGAACTGGTTCACAGCAGCCAAGGATCAAATGAGGCCAACTTATGAAGTTGTTTCAGGTGGCTCCCAAGATAGCTTTCCGGAAGAGCTCCTCCACAACAGGACAGTCTTGGAGAACCTGTCCCTCACGTCCCCATCCCATTTGCACGTGTGTCCTTGATATTTGTCAAATATGGCTAACAGCCACCCCTAAGTCACATATACAACCATTTGTCTGGTTGTGCCTGGTGGCATTCCTTTTAGAAAGGGTATAGAGCTGGTGTTCTTAATCTGATTGCCATGCATGGACCTTTATAGGTGGTACATGGATAGAATTTATGGAGTCAGTGAAGTCCCTGAAAGTCTATGCAAAATTTTGTCTCTGTGCACATTTTTCTGAGGAGAGAGCCCTTGGACAAAGATCCTCAGAGGCTGTGAACCAAGGAAAGTTAAAAACAATTGGTTTAGTGCTAGATACTAAACAGAAGAAATCTACTGAAGGTGCCCACGTGAATGAGATAGGAAGTAATGCCTGCTATTTGAGTTGCAAATTAACACTTACTCAAAACAAAGGCAAATATGATCTGATGGTCAGAAGCCATAGTCCTTAACGGTCAGGTAGTCCAATCCCTTCATCCTCTAGTCTAGATAAGGAAAATGAAATTCAAAACGGCTCCACCCAAGACCTCAAAATCACAGAGCTACTAAGTGGCAAAACTGAGCATTAAACTAGGCCGCATTTCTGCCAGGATGCCAGGACATGAAATTATATTTTTTTAGAATGGTTTTGACCAAAATTCCCCAATCCTTGTAAATATCCCACCTCCACTAAGAAGGTAGGCTTCTAAATTGTAAAATCAAACTTTAGCATAGGGATTCAATATATTTAAATACCCCCCAAATTATCAGTCAAATCGCAGATCTTTCACAAAAGCCAGGACATAGATTTATAAAGTGAATCTCAATGGCTCATTATCCCCTATCCTGTTGCATTATGATTTCAAAAGCAGCACTGAATGAGGCGATCTAAATGTAACAGAAAAAGACAGCTAATGACAATCCTTTAAAAAAAAGACACTGATTCAGATCCCCATACCGACTATACCACTAAAAAAAAAAAAAAAGACACCGAGTGGGTCAAGCTGACTTCAGAATGGATTTATGCAATTTCAATCTGTAAACTCCCCAATCTCCTAAAGAGTCTCTGACCCTCTCTCAAAGGTTAACATTAACAGTGTTGCCTAAACACAAAATGATTTTCTTCAACCCAGGTAATGTGATCATTCATAAATCAAACTAAGAACAACCTTTCCAGTCCCATGTTCACAAACACTACATGTGGCAGAACCAAAGATATTAGGCAATTATTCTGAGATCAGATTTAAAAATAATTACTATCATTAAAAAGTTACAGAACCATTTGTTCCCATGCCAAATTTCGCCTTAGCACATGAAATTTAAAGTAACCAAAAACTCAGTCTCACCTGAGCACTGAAACCAAAATGACATTTGAACCCAAATTCAATGACAACATGTCCTTCAAGACGTAACTGGAATAGGCCTTCGGAAGCACCTGTGGCCTGAAAAGGCTTTGACCAATTTTCAAAGCTTTATTGGCTGCAGTCTACAAGCAGGTTCGAACATTCTATTTTAGGTCAAGGAGACTCTCTGCCAGCCCCCAACTGACCTCAAATGGACAAGATCAATTTGGGAGAATGCACTAAAAGAGTTTTGTTCTGTTTTTTGTTTTTTAACCAGGCCAGAAGCTCTCACTGCGAGACTCCGAAAAGGATGGAGATTTAGTCACAATCGAGGCAGCGAAAAAATACGGCTGGGCTGTCTGGGGGCTCACGACAGTCTGTCTGCTTGGGATCCCACAGCGTGTGGCCAGGCTGTGGCGTCAGTAGTACGCGAAGAAGCAGGGATTCCCGGGAGAAGCAGAAGGAGCGGGGTGGGAACCAGAGCGAGTTGAGGAGCCTGCAGGTGTCGCCGAGGAGGGTACGAGGTCGCCCGGGGCCGGCACAGCAAAGTGACCTAAGAGTACGGCTTCGGACTAGGGCAGCCTGGTCACATCCTCAGGCTGTGACCTTGTGCACGTGGCTCGACCGCTCTGCGCCTCCGTTTCCTCATCTCTAAAATGGGGGTTATTCAAGCGGAAAACGCGCCTGGGAGCGCTTGGCACGGCGCCTGGCGCATAGTAAGCGCTCCCTACTTGTGAGCTCTCTGGCTCCGCTTGCCGCCCGGAGGAAGCGGGGAAGCCCCGCGCAGGGGAGTCCCAAGGAGGCGGATCCGGGGCTGGGGCGGGAGGACCCCGGACAGAGACTCACCGAGCACGTCGGCTGAGCGATGCCGGGCCACGAAACACGCGTCGTCCCCGTAGCACGCGCCCTTCTTGAGGAGGCCCTTACGGAAGTCCTTGCCGAAGCCGCAGCCGGCCGTCACCAACCCGTAGTCGCCTCCACCGCCGCCACCGGCCCTGGGGTCGGTCTGCGAGAGGCCGCCGAGCACGGCGCGGGCCACCAGACGCCCGTATGAGAGGACCGAG